CTCCTTCAAGGTCAATCCAGTCACTTCAAGGATGCCATCCATCCATCTTGCCCTTGGTCAGCCCCTCTTGCTTTTTCCTTCCATTTTTTCCAACATAATTGTCTTCTCTAAGCTTTCCTTTCTTCTCATGATGTGGCCAAAGTACTTCATCTTTGCCTCTACTATCCTTCTCTCCAATGGGCAGAACTGCTGAATTAGGATGTATCAATAAATTCCAAGCCATAAACAATGGTTTGTTGACACACTACATATATTAAAACATTACAGCTTTCATCACAGCCATACATATGCAAAGATACTCTCCTCACACCTGTTTTATGACAAGATTTTACAGGCCCTGCACACATACCAACTCACTAGGTAAAAGCCATTCCTCCGGTCTACATGTGTTTATCTGAGCAAAACCTGACTCCCAACTATGTCCTTTCAACTACTCATCACAATCATTGTTAAACCGGTAGTTGTCACCATTCCAACATGTTTTGCATTGACAGATATTGCTACTACATGTTTTGCATTTCCACTATCTTTTACATTCCTTCCATGTATTTTTGGTATACATGCCTGCCCAAACAGGGTTTATTATTTATTTATTATTTATTTATTCAGAACTTTTATATCCCAGTCTTCTCAACCTCCGCAGAGGGACTCAGGCCGGCTAACAGAAAATGCATACACAAGTAAACTAATAACATCATAACATCATAATACAGTAAAATAGCAACAGAATAAATACCTAAAGCCAAATCGACAAGATAAAATCACATTCATCACAGTCCGCCAGTGTGGTCAGTAGTTATTAGGTTATTGTTGACGCCAATCATTCTGAGAATGCTTTGCCCCAGAGCCAGGATTTCACTAACTTTCTGAAAGTCAGGAGGGAAGGGGAAGATCTAATCTCCATCAGGAGAGAGTTCCACAGCCAAGGGGCCACCACCGAGAAGGCCCTGTCTCTCGTCCCCACCAGACACGATTGCAAAGGTGGTGGGACTGAGAGCAGGGCCCCTCCAGAAGATCTTAACAACCTTGATAGTTCGTAGGGGAGAATCCGTTCGGACAGGTAAACTGGGTCGGAGCCGTTTAGGGATTTATAAATCAAAACCAGCACTTTGAATTGTGCTTGGAAGCTAATTGGCAGCCAATGGAGCTGACGCAACAGAGGAGTAGTGTACTCCCTGTACCACGCTCCTGTTAGTAATCTGGCTGCCGCTCGTTGGACTAATTGCAGCTTCCGGGCAGTCTTCAGAGGCAACGCCACGTAGAGAGCGTTGCAGTAGTCTATACGGGATGTTACCAGAGCGTGGACCACTGTGGCCAAGTCAGACTTCCCAAGGTACGGGCGCAGCTGGCGCACAAGTTCTAATTGTGCAAAAGCTCCCCTGACCACCGCCGAGACCTGGGGTTCCAGGCTCAGCAATGAGTCCAGGATCACTCCCAAGCTGCAAATCTGCGCCTTCAGGGGGAGTGTAACCCCGTCAAGCACAGGCTGGATGCACACTGTCAAGTATAGGCTGGATGCACACTGGATGCACACTGTCATATAATGCAGTTTGGAACTGCATTATATTGTCAGTGTAGATCAGGCAATGGCAAACTTGGGCCCTCCAGGTGTTTTGGACTTCAACTCCCACCATTCCTCACAGCCTCAGGCCCTTTCCTTTGCCCCCTCAGCCGCTTATAGTCCAAAACACTATTTTATCGAGATTGGTCATTGCTCTCCTCCCAAGAAGCGTCTCCTGATTTCCTGGCTGCAGTCTGCGTCTGCAGTAATCTTTGCACTTAGAAATACAAAGTCTGTCACAGCCTCCATGTTTTCTCCCTCTATTTGCCAGTTATCAATCAGTCCGGTTGCCATAATCTTGGTTTTTTTATGTTTAACTGCAACCAAGCCTTTGTACTTTCTTCTTTCACCTGGATTAGATAATATATTGTATATACATATAATATTTATAACACTATAATGTAATACAATATAATACTACTAATAATGCAATATTATAATTATATATTTTATATTACATGTAATATTACTAATAATATTACAATATAATGGTATAGTACAATATGTAACACTGATAGTGCTGTTTTAATAATATAACATATTGTTTGTGTGTATATATATATATATATATATATATATATATATATATCTTGTAAGCCGCTCTGAGTCCCCTTCAGGGTGAGAAGGGCGGCATATAAATGCAGTAAGTAAATAAATAAATGAATAATAAGGTTCTTGTGGGTTTTTTCGGGCTATATGGCCATGTTCTACAGGCATCTCTCCTGACATTTCGCCTGCATCTATGGCAAGCATCCTCTGACCGCATCTCGGCCTATGAGCCCACAAGGACTTTGAGATCGTCCGGGGAGGCCCTGCTCTCAATCCCGCCTGCCTCACAGGCACGCCTGGTGGGGACGAGAGATAGGGCCTTCTCGGTGGTGGTGCCTCGGCTGTGGAACACCCTTCCCGTGGACATCAGATTGGCCCCTTCCCTGATGATATTCCGCAGGAAATTAAAGACGTGGCTGTTCAAGAAGGCGTTCGAACAAGAAATGCAATAATTGGTAATGACGACAGGAATGGAACGGCGGAATATGATACTGGATTGTGGTGTAACGATGAGATGATGCGAATGGCTTTTTGTATTATTGATATTGATATTGTTGATGTTGTTGATGACGATGCTTTTGTTATTGCTGGATTGATTTTAGATTGTGTCTTGTAATTTGCACCCTGTCCTCTCTATGTTGTACACCGCTGTGAGTCGCCCCCGGGCTGAGAACAGCGGTATATAAGCACAGTAAATAAATAAATAAATAATAAATAGAACATGGCCATATAGCCCGAAAAAACCCATAAGAACCTAGTGATTCCAGCCATGAAAGCCTTTGACAAAATGAATAATAGCCGTTTGACACCGCTCAGTGTCAATCTACTATGTGCAATATTTATTTACTTTATTTCTATACCGCTTTTCTCAGCCCTCAGGCAACTCAAATATGACTATATCCAGAAAAGAAAAAAGGCTAAAGAGGAGAATGTGTTGTCGAAGGCTTTCATGGCCGGAATCACTGGGTTACTGTAAGTTTTTCGAGCTGTATGGCCATGTTCCAGAAGCATTCTCTCCTGACGTTTCGCCTGCATCTATGGCAGGCATCCTCAGAGATTGTGAAGTCTGTCGGACACTAAAGAGGAGCTTCAACGCAATGGCTACGTGCCCTGCCGCTTCTCAGCCCCAGCATTCCCGCTAGTCTCTCCGACCGCAAAGATAACCTTCTCCCTTTCCCTTTCCCCGTTCAAATGACGTCAACAATCCCCGCGCCTGCGCAGTACAAACTCTTCGCCGTTTCCCCGTGAGGGGAGTTGTGGGCGTGGCTTTGCTCGGAGGAGGGAGGAGGAGGAAGGAAAAAAAAAAGCCAGCTCTGCTCCCCTCCCCAACTTAGCCCTGAGCGCGAGAGCGCGCGTTCTAACGTAAAGGGAGGATGCGCGCGCATGCTTGGCTCTGGGCGGTTGCGTGACTGATAAGAAAGGTGTCGGCGGCCGCGGCGGTGACGCGCAGGCGCGCGCACGCACCCTGTCTCCCTCTGTGTTTCTCCCTTCATCAAACGGCGTTGGGGTGGCGCGTGGACGGAGCCGCGCCTTTCCCTTCGCCTAGGCGCGCGCGCTCTCTCTCTCTCTCTCGTTTCGAGGAGGGAGGGAGCGAGTGTGTGAGTGACTGAGGGAGGGAGTGTGTGTGTGTGGACAAGAAGCGGGGGAAGGGAGCGAATGAGGGGCTCGCTCTGCCTGCCTGCCTGCCGCGGTTTCATCCTCCGTCTCCATCCCCTCCATGGATTAATCCCCGGCGGCCAAAGGTGAGAAGAAGGAAGACGAAGAAGAAGGAAGAAGACGACGACGACGACGCCGGGAATTGTGAGGGACACGCGGGGAAAGGCTGCGGCCCACCGCAAGGAGCGGCCACCGAGGGGGGCTTTTCCTAGCGCGGCCATTGGAGGATTTGGCCGGGATTTTAGCGCGGCGGCGGCGGGGAGCGCGGAGGAGGAGGAGGGGGACCGTGCCCGCGGCCCCTCCCGCCCCGGGGCGGCTCGCCTCCCCCCCGCCGGACCATGGCCGACGACGATGTGCTCTTCGAGGACGTTT